TGCTAAACTTTTTATGAATTTATTAGACGTCATTTTTTATTTCAAGCAAGACAGGGAATTCAAACTTTGTTATACTTTAGTTACTCTGTTCATGTTCATCGACAGATTCTTAAAAATCTACATAGGATACTCTCAAAACCTTTTAATTTCATTACATACCGTATCTCATCTTCGCCGACGGTTTTCTTTCAACAAGTGTACTGGGATGGCGTAACTATATTAATTTATTGAGAATGAGAATGAGAATGAGAAAATCTACGAGTACAACATAAGTAAAGATTAAAAAAGGTTAATGCAATTAAAAAATTTGTGCACCAGAAGAAACTACAGTGAAAATATAAGCACCCAAAGTGAGTCTGGTGAGACCGCTACTAATTACTCTATTCATGTCCACAATGTGCAATAAATTTCCCTCGTTTTGAAATTCTCTGCACCGCTGCGCGTAATTGGACTTCGAGGCTACGTTGCGTAGCCTTAGGGGTGGGTACGAGGAGAGAGTGAGAAGAGAGAAAGAGGGGGAGGGGGAAAGTGATTTTTAGGGTTTGGTGAAATTGAGTTGGGGTGGATGTGAAGGTGGGATGGAGTGAGGTGAATTAATTCGATTTTAAAATATTATTATTATGTCATGTTTGATTGCAACAAATTTCATGAAAAATGTCACATCCGAGAAAAATGAATTCCACTTTGACATTTTGATTGCAACGTGTAAATGAAAATCGAATTCTAAGGTACAATTACTTTAAGCTGCATTCTCTTTGTTTTTATATTCCTATGAGTTTGGTGAGTTTTTATTTTTCAACTAACGGGAATTTGAAATTCATTTTTCACATTTGTCTATCAAACGGACCCTCAGTATTTTAAAAGATGAATTATCATCTGAATATTGAACAAAAAAATTTTGAAATCTTATTTTTGAATTGGAAAGTTAAAAAACACGTGTGGGTATAATTTCCACTAGTGTTAATTCTTTTCTGAAATTACTATGCTCAATAAACTTTTCGCCAAAGGGGACACTATATTCCATGGGAAAAAATCACAACTCGGGCTTTATCTATCCCAAAATAAAAAATCAGGCTCCAAGATTTAGAATTGCAAAAATCAGGTTTTTCATGAATTAATTAATTATATTTTACAATTATTATATTAAATTAAATATTTAACTGTAATATAATATAATTAACCCACCCCCACCCCACCCCACCAAATTGCAAAAATCAGGTTTTTCATGAATTAATTAATTATATTTCACAATTATTATATTAAATTAAATATTTAACTGTAATATAATATAATTAACACACCCCCACTCCCACCTTACCTCCACCTTTGCTCCTACGACTATTCTGGTGACCGACGACCACTCCGACGACTGTTCTCCGGTCACAGATCAAAAATTTTGTAGGTCACAAATCTAAAATTTTATAGGTCACAATTTTTTCATCGGTCACAGATCAAAACTTTTGTAGGTCACAGATTATTTCGAGATCACAAATCTAAAATTTTATAGGTCACTGATTATTTTATTGGTCATAGATCAAAAAATTTATAGGTTACAATTGACTTTATTGGTCACTGATCAAAAAAATTATAGGTCACAAAGATCACATATTTTCAAATTTGTTGGTTACGAATTAGATTTTAAGTCACAGATTGACGAATTTTAAGGTCACGGACCATATAGTTGGTCACATACACCCAAACACCCGTCCCCCAATCCCAGTACACCATCAATACTTGGTCACAGATCAACCAAATAGTTAGTCATAGACACTCTTCGTCCCATCTGCCCGCCGTCGCCACCACCTCCGCCCAACAATAACACCGTCGCCGCCCAACTTCACCACCATCGTCGCCGCCAACACCACTGTCGTTAGAACCACCACCACCTTACGAGAACACCGTAATCTCCATCTCAAACCAACCACCACCGCGTCACCACCACCACCACCACCTCCACCTCATCTCACCATAAAAACCAACAAACCACCATTTTCAACTACAAAAACACCACCACAAAAACCTTCACCACCCCAACCGTCAATCCATTACCACAGCCTCCACCATAAAAATCGCATGCCGGATCTACAAGATGCCACCACCACAAAAACCCCCCACCACACAAAACACAGCCGGATCTGCTTCTGAAATACCGCTTCTGCTTCGTCGCACATTCATTTCACCCCGCAAATAATTACTGGTTGAAATCTCCATTAACCCAATCTTCATTGAGCAAAATATTTGCAGCTGTAATTGATTTCTGGCGAAGATCTCGGAGCTTTGTGGAGGAAGCCGCAAAGCAATCACAAGAGCTAACGTAGGGTATAGCCTCGGTTAACTTGGACGACGTCGTTTCGGAGGCGTCAAACGCATTGCCACCGTCGCCACCACTTTATCACTACTACAGCCTCATCAGATCCACATACTGACACTCATCCGAAGAGGCGAGCAACAACCAAATTTCACAGCAGCGACACTGACACTCATCCCGAAGAGGCGAGCAACACCCAGATTTCAAGTAACTGGTGCCAGTAGAGAGAAGGAAGGTAGATAGAAGAAACCGGTGCCAATAGAGAGAAATATAGTAGGGAGAGAGAATGGAAAGAAGAAACCGATGCCAGTAGAGAGAAGGTAGAGAGTTTTTGAGGTGTGATGTTTATTTAATCAAAAATCAGGTATTAATTGGATGTTTTATTAATAGACTAGAGAGAGAACAAAGACAAGAAAGTGAATTAGGGTATAGAATGGAATGGAGTAGCTTGATTAATTAATTTTTATATGTATTAATAAATTAATAAAACATCTAATTAATACCTGATTTTTGATTAAATAAACATCACACCTGATTTTTGAATTTGAAAGTTTAAGTACCTGTTTTTATGTAATTCCCTCATATTGCGTTACCGCTGTTCGAACACTTGGGCTAGTCCAATTTCAGTTAACTGAGAGGCCCAACCAATCAACAGGACCAAATAAGCCCACAAAAATCCCCCATTTTCTCACCATTTGTCCTCTTTGCATTATTCCAGAACAAGCAGCAGAAAGCACTGGAAGAAGAAAGAGCAAACGATGTCGTCTCAACAGCAACCACAGCCATCCCCCGTAACAGGTCAGATATATGAATATTCTATTTACTTTCCCCCAATTTTCTGTGAATGCTCCTGCACAAAGAAATAACTGGCTAAAAGAGTCATTGTTTGATTTTCGATTTTGGATTTATTTATTATAATCCTGGATTTTTTATGGCGCTTCCAGGTCGTCTATTGTTTTACTTCATTTTAATTTGCATTTGGCGTTTTTTTTGCCAGTCAACTTGTTAGGATTATTAACTATATTATATTATTAATTTAAAATTTTATATATGATTATGCACTCACATATGCGTAAAGATGGTGTCAGGGCTAATGCAAAATTGTATCTATAGTATATGTATGTACCATGGTATATGTGTTTGTTGTTTTAGAGAAATGGTTAAGAGAATTCAAATGAGGTTTTTTTTTCCTGAATTTCGCAGGCGACTTGAACGGTTCTAATGCAAATCCAGGTTTGAGCACTGGAGTGGGTTGGTATATTCTTGGCCAAGATCAACAACTCATAGGCCCATACACCGTTTCTGAATTGCAGGGTGAGCCATTCATATAGCAAATTATTATCATAATGCTAAATAATTTGTATATTCAATATTCTGGTTGCTTGTAATTGGATTACTTAGTTTTAGTTTTTGACTTTCTTTTCAGATTAGCTCTTCCTTTAGTTCTCAGATTTTTTTTCTTCTTGTTATTTCATTGAATTTCAGCTTTCCAAGTAAGCCATAGGCTTGGTTTTGGGACAATCAGTTCACCTATATGATGTTTATATAGCCTTAATGGCTTTAATATCATATAAGCTTAAGCTTGTTTAATTCATCTGGACAGAGCATTATTCAAATGGATACTTCTATGGGAATACACTTGTGTGGTCAGAAGGATGTAGCGAATGGCAGCCACTATCCTCGGTTCCCGGGTTGTTGATTCACTCATCTCAACAAGATGCCGATTACTCAAGTTCAGGTGATGGCACATTTTTCCCAAATAATTTCACTAATAGTGACTCTTAACACATGTTTCTAAAGATTCAATTTGTTTTAAAAAAACTTCTCTTAGTCCCCATCGCCTCTAATGAAGAAGATGAGTTTGAAAAGTGGCAAAAGGAGGTGAGGGAAGCAGAAGCAGAAGCTCTATCAAACATTAATGATGACAATGAAAGACCTACAACACCACCTGAGGGAGAGGAAGAATTCACTGACGATGATGGAACTAAGTACAAATGGGATCGAAATCTTAAAGCTTGGGTTCCTCAGGTTGGTGTTTGGAATTTTACATTACATTGATGATTTGCTTTTGGATATTTTGTATGTTATTTTTTTCTTACAAAAACAAAGGTTATTTCATTTAGGCACATTTTACCCCTCTGCCAGAAGCACTACTCTCTATAAGTAGTTTGTCAGGCTATTTTCTTCTCATGAAAACACGTTCATTTTCCCACCTCAGTCTTTGCAGTGTTATCATTTCTTGTGGTCTTCCCCATAAGTTGCATAACAAAGCTCCGCATCTTCCTTTCACTCCAGCTTTTTCTTCAATGCGAGTTCCTGTTGGTTATTCATGATAGGAAAACACAACTCAGACAACTGAGGAATATGCTCCGGAAGATATGACTTTTCAGCTAGAAGAGGAGGTCTTTCCAACAAATGCTGATGATCTGTCAGCAAAGGAAGTGGATAATGTTGCCAGTGAAGCAGAATCAAAGCAGAATGGCAAGAGAAAGCTGCCAGAGGAAACTGCTGATATTAAAACTGAGGAAACTGCTGATATTAAAACTGAGGAAAAGAAGGTGCTCCTTTCAGATTTTGTTTTTATGCATATTGTTGCTTATCTCCTAGGATATAGTAAAGGATTGCCCTAATAGATAGATTACATCAGATATTATTATTACTGTGTTTAACTGTTCGTTTGTTTATCTCCTTGGATATAGGAAAGGATTGGTCTAATAAATAGATTACATGATTACACCTTTTGCTACTATCTCCACTCTACCCCATCAGATATTATGTTCTACTGTTCATTTCATGGTTATAATCATTTTGCAGATATAAAGGTCCTGATTAGAAGCATTTTAGTATTTAGATTTTTTATTTATTTATTTATTTTAGTTTCTGCGGGATCAACTTTATAAATTTATTTTTTATTTTCTTGCCTTTTCCATCTTCTATTTCCGTAAAACAAGGTCTCAAGTGGCGCCAAAAATGAAAAATAACCATTTAACTCCTTCAGCTTAAGCTAAGATTACTCACTCGACTGCAACACGAGAGAGATAAATGCCATTTACATGACAATCTACCAACGGATCTTTGTCATTCTATACACATTTTTAGCAAGCAAACCTAAATCCCTTCGTTGCCACCATGCATTACTCCATCACACAGTTTGATTTTCCAAACAAAGAAATGGGGTTTTCAATATGCATGGAGGTTGGAAGGGCCAGGATTGCAGAGGGGGGAGATGGGTTAAATGAGAATGGCTTCACGAAGTGGGGATAAAAGGTATGACTGGCTGCTGGGGGCAGGGAATGGAGATGGTGGAGGCAATTGGGTGTAGGGATAATTGCTTGTTAGCCTGTTAGGAGTAGAAAAGCGTGGCTTGGTGAGTCGGTGACTATTGGAGGCCGCAAAGTTCTGTGATGGCCATGGGAGGTGGGGGAAGGGTGGATCTGTTATTGAAGGTGGCCAAGGGGGACATGGTTGGCAGCCAAGGTTGTAGGGTTTGATGGAAGCTGTTGGAGGTGGAGCGTTTTGTCTTGGCTGTCAATCTTGTGAATAATGATGTTTCATATTGTAAGATCTGTTCCTACGTGCAATACAATTTATTTCAAATAGAGAAGACTTTTTGAGAATTTTCTGCCCTAATACATTTTTTGTGGGCATTTTTGGGTGTGCAATGCTCTAGAGAAGGTTGTGTGAGGTGGAATTATGCTTTTGGAGATTGCCAAGTGACAGAGGTGGCAGCTGCGTTTGGAGTGGGTTGATGCCTGATGGAGACC